TGCTTGACACAATGGATGGATGTAGGGATTGTGATAAGAGCTGTATGAGCCCCCCAATAAAGTATTTTAAAACAAAAAAAGAATACAACGTCAAGATCAAAGGAAGAATAGTTAATAATCTTTGATATGCAGATGAGACAAACTTGCTTGCTGAAAGTGAGAAGGGCTTGAAAGACTTGCTGATGAAGATGAAGGACTGTAGACTTCAGTACGGATTGCAACTCAACGTCGAGAAAATCCACATCCTCACAACTGGATCCATAGGCAACATCATGATAGATGGAGAATAGTTTGAGTTTGTCAAGGATTTCATCTTGCTTGGATCACAATCAATGCTCTCCCTCCACAAATGCTCTCTGGTGCTAATTGGGACCCTGAAGAAGACTTTCCTCTAATTCCTCCTCCAACTTCTTACTACATTCTCTTAACATCTTTTTACATGGACCAGGGATGTGAGTAGCTTTGCTAAGATGCAGAATGCATTGGCAAGTGGATTGTTTCAGGTGCAGTTGGGTTAAAATTTAGCACCCTATCATTTGATCAGTTTATAATCCACTTAAATTTGTTCCAGTTTTTAATAATTTCTGCTTTCTTGAAGATTGAGGCTTTTGTCTGTTTTATTTTGTTATTCTTTTCTTGTTAGTTTTTAAAACTGTTTTTCTGTAAATGAAATGTGATAGGTAAATCTATAGAGACAGGAACTAGATTGATGTTTCTATGTGGGGTACAGCAGGGAAGGTGGGGGAAAAGGGGGGCTAATTCCGGTGAGTAAAGAATTCAGAAAAAGTTCTAAAACTGATTGTGGCGTTGATTGCACAACTCTTCTTGATGTGACTGAACTATTGAATTGAATGACATGTGGATTATATGCCCCAAAAATTCTAAAAATAAAATCTTGTGCCTATACTGTGTTATCTCCTCTAATCATCCCTAAGCCCTGTTAGGTAAGTGATACTATTCTGACAAATAGTGAAGAAACAGTCTCTCAGACAAGAAACTAGGCCCCAATGATTCAACTACTGAAAGAGGGATCTTGATTTGAACCCAGGAGTGTGGCTCTGTGTTTCTCTCCACATGGACTCTGCAGCTCTGCAGGGTGACTCTTGCTGGTTCCTTCCTTAGTTTGGAAGAGTATAGCAATCACTGCTCTCTGTGAACTCCCACTCCCTCCCTGTATGATAGGAAAGGAATTGTAATTCTAAGTTGTATCGCAACAAAATGGGCTCACTTCTTAGCGCCTATTGTAGGAACTTTACATTTCGCAGCATATGGATGTCCCCAATGAATTAGCGATGATGTGAAACGCCCAGGGTTCAGAGTGAGGGAAGAGACAGAAACACCACTATCACAGATCCATCTGTATGGGGACTAGAGATCCCTGAAGCCTACATCCTCAGGAAGTCTATGAAGGCATCCTGAGAGAGACTCATGGCTTCATGAGACCACGGGAGAGTTGCCCACGCCTGAAAAAAGTGGGGGCTGTCAGTCAGGGTGCGATGTAGCAACGATGAAAAAACAACTTTCCTCTAGTTCCTAAATGCTTCCGCCCCACCCCCACTATCATGATATGAATTCTACCTTGCAAGTCTGGCTAGACCAGAGAATGTACACTGGTACAGATAGGAACTGGAAACACAGGGAATCCAGGGCGGATGATCCCTTCAGGACCAGTGATGTGAGTGGCAATACTGGGAGGGTAGAGGGAGAGTGGGTTGGAAAGAGGGAACTGATTACAAGGAACTATATGTGACCTCCTCCCTGGGGGACGGAAAACAGAAAAGTGGGTGAAGGGAGACATCAGACTGGGCAAGATATGACAAAATAATAATGTATAAATTATCAAGGGCTCACGAGGGAGAGGGGAGTGGGGAGGGAGGGGAAAAATGAGGACCTAATGCCGGAGGCTTAAGTGGAGTGGAAATGTTTTGAGAATGATGAGGGCAATGAATGTACAAATGTGCTTTACATAATTGATATATGTATGGATTGTGATAAGAGTTCTATGAGCCCCTAATAAAATGATTTAAAAACAAACAAACAAACAAAGTGGGGGCTGTACTGAAGTGAGGTGCAGATAAATAGCATGTGGTGGGCAGCACCTGAAGGAGCAATATGAGTTGGATGTAAGGAGATGCAGCCCTAGGCTGCTTCCAGGCAGGGAAGACTTTTGTAATATGTGGACCATGTGGGTACAGCTCTGTAGTGTCAGAGTTCTTGTTGTTAAGTACAATTCTACTTATCTTTACTTCTTACTTATGGTTCAAATCCCGTGCTTACCATATTTGTATGTGTTGTGCAGTTTATTCATGAGAGACATATTGGAGGGGGAGTATGGGGTGGGCAGGGGTTGACAGAGTAAATCATAAAGCATTTTCAGTCTGTTCAAATTCCCTAAGACAACCCCTCCTGTGTCCTGGTGCCCCCAGGGTTCTAGAAGCTCTATCTGTCCTTTCCCAAGAAATAGCTGGGTTTTTGGTGAATGCCTGAGGGACACGTGGGTCCTGGGAGGCCTCTCAGCTGTCTGGGCTCAGGGAGCCAGTGTCTGGGCTCAACAAACCCTTTCAGACAGAGGATATTTTCCTAACATTGATGCAAACGACAGGCATGTTCCATTGAAGATTCTCCTTTCATTGTGACAATAACAGGTTTAAGTTTCTTGTCACTGAGTCTCAGGGACCATGCTAGCCAATAAGAAGAGTAGATGGGGAGCAGCTCTCTGGTAGTTACATAATCTGGTGTCAATTTGAGAGGATTAGGAGTGAAAGAGTGGAGGCTGGCCTGTCAATCAAGATATAACAAATGAGGCTTCTGTGTGGGCATGCCTTTCTCCTGAGAATTCTGGGAAATCTGTTTTTCCCTCCTTGGAGGTGGGAGACACTTGCCTCTCTCTGTGAGGCATCCCTGAGGAGAAGCCACATCATCCAACCCAGATGCAGCCCTGGGAACTGGAAAAGCTACATGGAGACCCCTGCCAGCCCTGAAATGCTTACAGCGCCACTGGATCCAAAGACTTTCTACCCACTGGCCTGTGATCTTCCTGCACTCGGCGTTATTGCATGTGTTTTGTGAGTCTGAAGAGGACTTTATAGATTGGTATCGGATGAATGAGCTAATATCGGACTTATGGGCTTGGGCTGTGCTTTGTTGGGATGCTTTCTTAATGTACGATTACCCTTTATATAAAACTTTCTCTTATACACATATGAGTTTCTATGGATTTGTTTCTCTAGTCTACTCGGACTAACACACTCTCTCTGTTACTTAAATTTGCACACAACCCACCTCATTCATTAATTCCTTCATTTGGTTTAAGATATTTGGTAGCATTTTAATACATATTCAGGTCTTGGCATGTACAGTAAACAATTCCTCTAAGCTGTCTCTGTGCCTCTAAGTGCCCAGCAATTATATGACACTTTTTTTCTTTAATGAAACACAATACACAATGTGTTTCTCCTTAACTAATGAAGTGGCAGATAATTAACTTTGCTTTTTAACCCTGGTACCCTCATAAGCAAACAATTGCCATCCAATCCTCTGGGTAGGGGATTAACTGCTTCCTGATAGGTGCATACGTTTTCATAAAGCCTCACTTTTCTAGTCTTGTGTGTGTCTGTTGGGCCAGGGCGGGGGGCATTCTTGTCCAAGCCAGGGCCTCTACACCTGTCAGCCCCCTTGAACAGCTAAGACAGTGGTTCTCAACCTGTGGGTGGCAACCCCTTTGGGTGGTTGAATGACCCTTTCACAGGGGTCGTCTGCTTCATAACAATAGCAAAATTACAGTTATGAAGTAGCAACGAAAATAATTTTATGGTTGGGGGCTCAACATAACCAGAGTAACTGTATTAAAGGGTTGCGGCTTTAGGAAGGTTGAGAACCACTGAGCTAGGGGGTTAAATCTGTGTTTGTATTTGCAGGGTACTCCCTCCTTAAGGAAGGGGCACAGCAGAGAGAGACAGTCACATTTGGAAAGGAGATTCAGACTGTGTGAGCAGCATCCTCCAAAATGTTCCAAGCTGGGACACATTTCACATAGAAATCAAGCACATGTTAACACATGTATTCGTTCACATACTTGCACGTGTCTGAAAATAAGGTATCATCAAGCTTGTACAAGCCTTCTCTCCACTCTGATATTTTCTATTCTATTCTTTAGTAATTTTAATTTTAAATGCTACGTATAACCCACTAAGGAGTCTTTATGACCTGCGTCCTCCAGAAAGAAAATAAAAAAGAGCACTTATTAGTAGATTCCTGTGCAGGGTTCTACACAACAGTTAATGAAAGACCCAATGATCTTGTATCCAAAAGGATGCTTGGAGAAGTGAACCCTGGACCCCGAGGAGCTGTGAGGTCTGAGGATCAGAGATATTCAGGAGCTAAGAAACCAGTATGGACCAGAGCCCTGGGGCGACGTCCTCTGCCCTTGAAAATTTCAACCTCAGAAAAGTGTGAGGGAGACTTACTGTGCTGACTTACTCCAGGAAAACAAGATCCCATTTCCACAGGAGGAGTGGCAAAGGCGCGGGGAAGAAAATGTTCTAGGCAGAAGGTGGAAAAGCCCCTCCGCCCCTCACACATTGCAGTTACAAAGGAAAGATCTAGGGCCGCGCAGTAAGACAGGTTCCTCTAATTCAGATGCACACTTGGGCTGAGAAAGAACAAGCACTGGTCTGCTGACCAAAGTGCGGCTGCGTGCACCTGGCATTCCGTTGCCTTGAGTCTTAAGTACTAGGAAACCCCTGTGGGGCAGCTCAGCTCTGTCACCTTGGGTAGTTAGGAGTCAAAGGCACACAGCAAAAATGGGGTTGGATACCTCTGACCTTAACTCCACCCCCAGGTCCTTATTCCATGAGCAGTCCAGCCTGGGACTGGGCAAAAAAATCCCAAGCTATCCCAGCCATTGTAAGGGCTGTCTCCATGCTGAGACCCAGAGCTGTGGGCTCAGTGTCACATTAGCAAGGTGAGTAGACAAGTTCCCGGTTTAGGAACACACTTACCAGCTTCCTGAAGCAAAAGGAAGGACTGTGGTCACGTTACAGGGACGTTCTGGGTGGTCACCTCTTCAGACAGAGATCACCTCTTCTGGGGGAGATTCACCCTCTGGCAACTTTGTGAGCTCCAAACCAGGCCCGCTTGTTCAGGAAGGGCAGGTGAGAAGTGTGCAGCCGTGGGGGTCCTGGTAGGAAGAGCAGAGATGGAAGAGGACCTGGAATTCCTGAATTCCTTCCCCGGCCTGCTCTGAAAGGCTCCAGTTCACTCTCTGCCCTTTTGGGCCCTCCCCCCCCTTCCCCACCCCGACAGGAAGAATGCATGTGTGCATACAAGTTTCACTTTCTATTCCTGTAAATCACACTAGTTCTTCAACCGCCGGTCACCAGATCCTGGTGTTGGGACACTGACACCAGTCGCCTTTCTGCCTCTACATGCAGCCCGAGATGTCGGCAAGGAGTCCTGTGCAAAGTCATTGCCCAACCTCCTGAAAGCCAAGCATGCAGATGGGAGCAGCCTCTCACAGAGTCCCTATTGGCGGTGCCAGACTTCCCCTAGCAAAATCAGTGATTTTCCACTCGGCTAGCAGCTCCTTGGCCCTGTTTGCACCCTCTGCTCTCTACTGCTTAGAAGCACTGACCCTTCTGGCAGCCCTGGCTTCCACTGCTGTCTGTCCCACCTCCACCACCGCCGCCATGGATTGATCTGATTCAGAGTGTGCTTTACCTCTTCACTCCTTTATCCCTCTTGTCTTTCACCATATCTACCTGCAAAGTCTTTCCTGAATAGAGGCATATATCCCCGCTTCCCATGCCTGCTCCTGGGCAGCTGAGTTCTGCAGAGTTGAAGTGTTACCTGGCAGAGAGAGGCTCAGTGTTTCAAGCCTCATCCCTCCTCTGTATTTGTCCCAGTCACAAGAAAGTTTTCAGGCCAGAGACTAAATTCAGACAAGAATCATGGAAAAGGTTTGAGGAAAAATAGAGTTTATGGAAGGAGAATACTTTGGAAAAGAAATCCAAAGGGCCCTTAGCTCATCTAAAAGGCCTGGCCAAACCCAAAGCCAGACCTTATTCTCTGCTAATGGCAGCCCTCCCACTGAAGGCTGACTTTCTGATGGTTTCTACTATTGGCTGGTCCTCTAGCAAGTACCTCCTCTTTTCAAGTATGTGCAGCCCAGCTCCCCAGCACCTCAGCACTGCAGACTGCATGCTGTGCTCCTGTCTCAGATTCCAAACTCCAAAAATATTCCATTACTGTGGGACTTGTGCGAACATCCTATCTTTCTTCCCCTGGCCATTCCAATGTCTCCAGGTCTCTTGCATTTATAAGGAAAAGTGTTACTCTGCTCTTCACTTTCCCAAGGAGCCCTGGTAACATAGTGGTTACTAAATGGGCTATGATCCACAAGGTTAGTAGTTCGAATCCACCAGCTGGTCTGTGGGAGAAAGATGGGGCTTTCTACTCCCATAGACTTACAGTTTCAGAAACCCACAGAGGCAGTTCTACTTTGTCCTATGAGTCAGCATCTACTTGATGGTAGTGAGTTTAGTACTTTGGGTGGGAGGATCTTCCTAATTGGACACTATCAACCTAGTTTCTATCCAGTCCTTGGTGACCCAGGCACTGTGTTTTAGACTACTAGAACCATAGGCTCTGCTCTTTTGAGGTGCACAACATTGTTCATATGCCAAACAAGAAGGGCTCAATGTGGAAACCCCACCAAGAGAACTAGGCTTTACCTCAGACTCACCTGTAGCCCTGGGACATAAAGGTGGAAACATCTTAGTGTGAGAAGAAGCCAAAGACTTCTATCACTAAGCTATATAGGACATTAGGTTAGGTTCAGAGCTCTCGCCTTGAGGGTGTCAGTGAATGTTGGCCCAGGACTGCCATATACTTATTATCTTAATGCCATCCTTGCTTCATTATGATATGTATGGATCTGGTAGGCATGGTTCGACTTTTTTCAATGAGTGTTATTGAAAGATTTGCCCTATCACCAACTCCCATTGCTTGAGTAAAGAGAGTCCAGTCACTTATAATGGTTCATAGCAGCTATACATAATGCAGGAATGCATCCAGTGGTAATCCACCCTGTTCCCTTCTCATGTTGCCTGTGAGCACACACTCATGGAGCTGTCTGACTTAGCTATTCATGCCTGTATCTCCTCTCATGTGAGATAACACATATTTCAGTTGTGTATTCCAATTTTCTAACCAACAATTACTGTTAGAGTGGAATGAAACGTGATAATATAATATGCTGTGTTGTGGCTTATTGCTAGCCCCTGTGGTTTATAGTTTGTTTGGAGTTTCTAAATAAATCTCTGTCAGCGTAGTGGATTAAGCTACAGTCGGCCCATGGCAAAGGCAGAAATTTGAATCTATTAGCCACCCAGAGAGAAAGATGAAACTTTATACTCTCAAATAGATTTACAGCCTCTGAACATGATAGGGGGACAAGAGGAAAGTAAAAGGAAATAGAGGAAAGAACTATGAGGAAAAAGGCATTTATAGAGGTCTAAACACAGGCACGTACATATGTAAATATATTTATATATGATGATGCAGAAATAGATCTATGTACATATATTTATAGGTTTAGTATTAAGGTAGCAGACGGACATTGGACCTCTACTCAAGTACTCCCTGAATGCAGGAACAGGTTGTTCTGATAACTGGCATTCCATGATGCTTACCTTCCCGACAAGATGGCTGAAGACAAAGCAGGTGCATAAGCAAATGTGGTGAAGAAAGCTGATGGTGCCCAGCTATCAAAATATATAGTGTCTGGGTTCTTAAAGGCTTGAGATAAACAAGTGGACATCTGACTGAGAAGAAACAAAGCCCACATGGAAGAAACCAGCCTGTGTGATCATGAGGGGTCGATAGGATCAGGTATCAGGCATCAAAGAACAAAAAATCATATCATTACATTGATGCAAAGATTATGAACAAAATACTGGCCAATAGATTACAAAAGTATATGAAACAAGTAATTCACCATGGCTAAGTGAGATTCATACCAGAGATGCAGGGATGGTTCAACATACAAAAGACCATTAGTATTATTTGCCACATTGAAATGAAAAATTATAAGAATCCATGTTATTATCAATAGATGCGGAAAAAGCATTTGACAACACCCAACACCAATTCCTGTTTAGGACACTCAAGAAAATGGGAATGGAAAGAGAATCCCTCAATACAATACAAGCTATATGTGAAAAACCAACAGCCAATGTGGAAACAGCCATTGGAGAAAAGACAAGATCAATTTTTCTTTAAAAAGGCACTAGACAAGGATGGCCTTTATTCCCACTCCTATTTAACATCATACTGGAGGTCCTAGCTCACAGTATAAGGCAAAGAGGAAACATCAAAGGTATTCATCTGGGGAAGGAAGAAGTGAAACTATCGTTATTTGCAGATGAAATGATTTTATATGTGGAAAATCCCAAAAGTTTCATGAGAGGATTACTGGAAGCAATAGAGGAATATGGCAAAGTGGCAGATTACAAGATCAACAAGCAGAAGTCTATCGGACTACTATACACATCAGATAAGGCCACAGAAGAGGGGATAAAAAAGGTGGCACCCTTAACAATAGCCAAACACAACCTGAAATATTTAGGGATATACCTGACTAAAAAAAAAACACCAAAATATCTATATGAGGAAAACTACAGAACATTATTAAAAGAAACCAAGGATGAACTCAACAAATGGAAGGACATCCCATGCTCGTGAATCGGGAGACTCAATATAGTAAAGATGTTAGTTCTACCCAAGGCACTGTATAAGTTCAATGCTATCCCCATCCAAATTCCAGCATCTTTCTTCACAGAACTGGAAAACAGATTAGCAACTTCATATGGAGTGGGAAGAAACCCAGAATTAGCAGAGAACTCCTCAAGAAGAAGAACAAAGTTGGAGGACTTGTTACCCGACTTTAGCACCTACTATACAGCTGCAGTGGTCAAAACTGTAGTATTGGTATAATGACAGATATTCAGACCAATGGAAAAAGGTTGAAAACCCAGAAATAAAATCATCAGTGTACAGACAACTGATCTTCAATAAGAGCCCCAAAAAATATCAAATGGAAAGTGGATGCCCTCTTCAATACATGGTGATGAAAAAAATGGATACATATCTTCAGGAAAATGAAGCAAGACCCTAACCCCACTCCATGCACAACAATAAACTCAATATGGATCACAGACCTTGAGGTGAAAACTCCAAACTATTAGGACTATCAATGAGGGAACTGGAACAAATCTGAGAACTTTGACTCAGGAATACATAGGCTATCAGAAATAGGGAAGGACACAAACATAGGGGAGGCACAAATAGACAATTGGTATATACCAAAAATAAAACAGTTGTGTGCATTTAAAGAATTCACCAAGAGAGTAATAAGAGAGACCACATAATGGGAAAATATCTTTAGATATATCAGACAAAGGCCTTATTACTAAAATCTACAATTCTCTGCTAACTTACAACAAGAAAAAAAAAATGTCCACTGAGGAGGTGGGCAAAGGACCTGAACAGAAGTATTTCAAGGGCAAAAATTCAAATGCCAATAGATATATGAGAAAATGTTCCAGATCTCTAGCCATAAGAGAATTGCAAATTAAAACAACTATGAGATATCACCTAAAACCCTCAAAGATAGCCCAATTCAAAAAATCATTAAACAACAAGTGTTGGAGGGGCTGTGGGGAGATATGAACTCTTGTCCTTAGCTGGTAGACCTGTAGGTACGTACAGCCATTATGGAAATCGATTTGGCAATATCTAAAACATATGGAAATTGAGCTACCAAACGACCCAGCAATCCCCCTCCTGGGCATATGCCCAAAAGAGACAAGAAACAAACCATGGCCAGACATCTGTGCTCCAATGTTCATCGCAGCGCAGTTCACAATTGGAAATAACTCAAATTTCCATCAATGGATTAAAAAACTCTGGTACATACATACAGTGGAGTATTATGCATCCATAAAAAGCAGTGATGAACGCATGAAACATATTGCCTTATGGAAAAAACTGGAGGAAATTATGCTAAGCGAAGTAAGCCAAGCACAAAAGGACAAGTACAACATGAGCCCACAGAGGTAAGCTCAAAAAATCCAAAAGGGGCAGAGGGAAGAAATGACTGTATACATACATTCCTAGGTTGAGGTCCAGGTAATATGGTAAGG